AAAAGTGATAACAAAAAGAAGCTATTTAAACTCATTTTTTCGTTGACATAAATTAGTCTTATTTAATTACATATCAGAAAAATCAAGTTCGATACATACAGCTGAGTGCAGCATAATTTGATTCCCGAAGTTAATTAATACTTATTTCATGTGTGTTTTTTTTTTCAAAAAAAAAATAAATAAATAAAAAAAACAGTATAATTCTCTTGTTGTAGTGATAAAAAGTGTATATAGCATAAAAGCAAAAGATATACAAGCTTTTATTGAAAGTCATAATCTTAAAATTTGAATAGATCCTTTTCATCGAATAATGATTAATAATAATTTCGCGTCTTTTTCCCGACAGCTTAACATTGCACCGCAGTTGAATTTTTATGACTGCTATAAGCATTTTAACTTAAAATCAACTTGTTAACAATCTTACCATCAATCGTGTATTACTTGTTTTATTTATTCATAGTTGGTGACCTGATTTTAAGCATTGACTTCTTTGTTTAAACGTAACTAGTATTTGTTAAAAATTTATCGCAATGTTTTTTTAAAAATTTCTTGAAGAATAATTGATTTATAAGAAATAACTTAAAGATACTCAAAAGTTAATAGTCCAAGAGGGATTTGGATAATTGGACAATTTTTCACTGATTTTCAAGTTTATAACCTAATTAAACATTTCTTCCATCATTATAGTTCATAAAACGAATTATAGTTCATGTTTCTAATTTAAAAATCAGTTATGCTAGAAATTTTTCCTTCTCCTTTTTTTCATTACAGTTTCAAGAGAAATGGAAAGAAGGAGAAGAAAGAAGATAGGAAGAGATTGTTAGAAAACGAAGAAGAAAGAACATTGGTAATGGACGACTTGATTAAAGAAGGAGTGGAACAAATTTCCATTTACAGAGAAGAGCGCGTCCAGAACCGATTCATTGAAGATTTTGACATGGGTGGTAAACCGTCCCTCATAATCAAGCCACCAGCTGTTTGGTACCCTGGCGAGCATACAGAAGAATATGGTTGGAGCGAAGATTCAAACTACACAAGCCAGAAATTTCACCGCAATGATGTTGGATGGTACCCGTATGAGGATAAAGAAGAGTATAATGGTATGTTTTTGGAGGATAGAAAGAAAGATCCCAAGCCATCCTTGTCTGTAAACCAGAATAAACGAACGAATAAGGGAAGGACTGAGTTGTGGTTGGAGGAAACGTCAAGAGTGAGATTTCCAGTGGTCCACTATGGATGGATGGATTTGAATGGATTTGAGAAAGAATGGCTTGACTATGAGGATTATGAGTGAGCCGTTCCTGAGGATGCACAAAGAGGATTGGGATTACCAGACGAAGAAAATTCTAATGAAACTGACAAGAATTCGGCTATGTACTGAAGAAGATATTTCGGAATGAGGACAACAGAAATTGCAGCAAAATTCTTTTAATATGTTTATCAAATTAATATCGCATATCCAAGTATTACAATCAAGTTACGATGGAGAAATGTACATCATATTTTATGAGTTTTTTTCTTCCAAAGTGATTCAGCAAACGATGATAAAATTTTATTAATGGTAAAGGAAAATAAAGAGGAATACAATAAGGAAGATACATAATCAGAAGAAAAGAAGAGAAATATAAGAAAAATGCAATCAGGAACATAGTTATATTCTTGAGGGAAAAAAGTTCTTTAACTAAATAGATTGAAAGTTTGTCAATAGTTTGTAACTTACAACAGAAGACAAAGTCTTAGAAATCTTTTAAGAGAAATGTTTATTTTAGTAGCGAAAAATTTAATTAAATTGTGTACAAATCAATTCCTTATTTCAAGAAAGTTTAATCTAATATACCTTTTCAATATCGCTAAAGGGCAAATCAGAAATAAGCCTAAGCGATTCATCCTCAGTAAGTAAAAATATGAGATAACTGATACTCCAATTATCAATTAAGTTTGTGCATGACCAGGAACACTTGAATGGAGTTTGAATAGAATGAAGAATGGCAGAAGAAGCTTTCATTGATAAAAAAAAAAGGAATTTCAAAAATAATTACGAATCAAATGTGATGGCAACAATGACTATTGGCTTACTAAAGAAAATACGAGTTTTAGTAGAAAAAGATCTGATATAATCAATCTAATTGAAAAAAATAGCTTCATAAGAAAAGAATACAAACGATCTAAAAATTAGAACTATAAGATAAGAAAATGCATCAGTAGTAAAAGTACTGTGCCTCAAAGTTAAAGTTGGAATAAGATTGAGAATGACTAAAGAAGACTTATACAAGCAATTTAAATAAAAAGTTAGAAATCAAAAATAAGCAAAACGAAATTTTAAAGATATTTATGTTAGCAAAAACAGCACTTCATCAGGGAACACACTCTCTGCTAACACACTGGAACCTTTCTGTAGTCAGTGGTTAAATCAAAAGCCGAAGCCCCTTAATGGAAAAACTAAATAAAAAAATACAATACCTCAAAAGTTCAAATAAAAATGAAAATCCAAAGATAAATTTTAATTTGTTGAAATCATTTGAAAATCCCAAAACAATTTCATACTTGGATTAAAGAAGATTTATATAAATAATAAAATTTGAAATGTTACTAAAAAGCAGATGGGTGGACAAATAATCATTGTTTCACAAAAAAAAAAATTATAATTAAATTTAAATTGATCGTGAAACAATTTTTCTCCTTGGGCCCTACTGCCATGGTATTGGAATTCATCATTACATGACTGTATATTTTTTATTTTAAAGGTCTTGAACAGCGAAATCTATAAAAATAGATACTAATAATAAATGCAAAAATAGAAGTACTTTGCTAATTTGCTCTGTTGATGACGCCAAGTTAGCTGCAGAGAAACTAAGCAATAATTCTTCTAGTCATTTGATGCTAAAAAGGAAAATGGATCTTTTATTAGTTTTCAAAGTATTTTTATAATTCCTTGGATCTTCCAGTTCTTCCATAACACAAATTAGACTCATTATTCCCAATTCAGTACAAGTATTTTAAACTGAAAAAATGCTTTAATTTTACTTAATTATAGCCTGGTGTTTTACTTTCAGAACATTTTTATTTAGTTTGGTAATTGGCAGAATATTGTAAAATTTCATATTTAAGATACTTATAGTGCAGATTATTTAACCAGTCGTTGATTTTTTTTTCTATCCATTTCATAATTAAAGACCGACGAGGTTAAAGATATGGCAATAAAATAGGAAAAAATAACGATACAAAGTATCTAAGGAAAGATTCAGCACCTGGCATTGAATTTAGAATGACTAATAAAGGATTTGTTAAAAAAGAAAGGAGCTTTGACAAATTATCGAGTAGCTGACAAAAATAATAATTGGTAAAAAACAAGTTTCAATAAGAAGGGATCTAAAATATAAATCTAAAAATGCAGTAATAATAGCAGTTGGAACAAAACAACAGAAGGAAAAGTATTGTTCCAGAAGATGAAGTCTGAATAGTATTCAGAGTGAAAAAAGAAGATAATTATAAAATTAGAATTCAATCACTCTCTTCAGATGCTGGAACGTGTCTTTCACGGATTTCGTTCGCGATTTCCGAGACGGTTAGTTCTGGAGATGTCACGAGATTTTGGTCAATTCCAAGGTATGTTTCTTCATCCATCACATCTTTGTTGCGTTTTTTAAGTTGCCTGAGCAATTCAAATAAGGGGACGTCATCATATTCATCATCATTAACATCTTCTGACGAGCTAGGACTTTCAACAAATCCAGCATGCCTGAAGAAGTGTTTGATGGTTTTATTGGTCACATCAGCCCAACTCCTGTGGATGTAATTTATACCATCTAAGAGATTTAGTTTCCATTCTCTGCCTTCATCAATGGTTTTAATCCAGTCTCTTACGAGATGAGTCCGATAGTGTCTCTTGAAGCTGGAAATGATTCCTTGATCAAGGGGCTGTAAAACTGGCATTGGGCGGCATGTAAACTAACTCCACTGATGGAAGGTTTCTTACCTCAGTATGCGCTGTGCAATTGTCCACAACAAACGCTGCTTTACGATTTGTTGCATGGAATTTTTTGTCAAACTCTTTCAAAGTTTTTTCCCAAACATTGGAGGTCATCCAAGACTTTGAGTTTGCTTCATATGATACACTCAAAGACTTCNACGGATCATGGGTAAGAGTCCCCTTGTCGACATGCTGACCATGGGATGTTTTCGTGGTTTTCCTCTCCGTGTAACGCTAATGCTGATCAGTTCCATAAGAAGTCCTACACGAGGGCAATTTCTCCCAGCACTTGATCTAGGTGTTCCCTTGTCTTTGGATTGGGTTCAAAATTACAAAACGACGGAGTCGAATATTAGTAGTCGTAAACCCAAAAAATTGGATCAGTTGTTCAACGACGGTTATAAAATATATCCACGCAAATAATTTATTTATTATTTCAGTTGTTTATATAAACTTAAATGAAAATCGAATAAATTATGAGAAGGGTCATTTATAAAAAAATAAATAAACTAATCACTAATCATAAGCTTCAATAAATTAATCAATAAAAAAATGTAACTATTTTTTCTCGAATTTAGTTATTTTATTTTGAATTGATCAGCTCACCGAGCTGATTCAAAATATAACTAAATTCAAGAAAAAAAGAGTTACATTTTTCTGATAACTATTCTCCGCCTTTACAGTTATTTTTTAAAAACCATAATTCAGCTTATTTTATTCATTTTCAGCATCCGCATACGCCCAAGAATAAATGTATAATTTAAAATATTTCCTTCGTCGCATTAAACACAATATTATTAGTATTTTTTTTTCTTGGTTGGTACATTAAAAGCTGCTAATAGAGTTTATTTTGTAACGATGGGGTTCAGAAAGAAAAGGAAAAGCTGGATCATTTATTAGAGTTTCATATGTCAAATCAGAAAAAAGAAATATTTAACCTCTATTCTATAGTATTCTTTCAAGCAGGTGTTTCTTTCAAGCACTTATCTTACAGTGATTCACTAGCAATATGAGGGGTAGAGCTGACCATTTATTTCATATCTTGAAGGCAATACATTTCTTCCAAGAATCGAACACACTATCAATGTCACACTAAAGTCATATTTCCATTCATGTGGTTCAAATAATAATAAACGACTCTCTTAAAACTTGAAATACGGGTATCCAGTCACCTGATGGTTTCTTACAAGAAGTAACAAGTTGTAGCTAGGACTGGGCTATAAATCGATGTATCGAGATATATCGATTTAACGCATATATCGGCAAGACGATACAGCGACTTTCATTCAAGGCGATGCATGAGAAATCTGATTTAAGCCGTCGAGTAAAGACAATGAGCGCAAAACGATATAGCGATATAAGACACGCAAGGATATAAGAAAACGATATAGCGATATAAGACTCCTCTCTGACGTTCCGATGTCGACTCGCGCTGTGAAAGACGATGCTCGTTTCGTTATGTTGAAATGACCTTGATCGGTGAGCTGTAGAATCAGAATCAGAGTTTTGAGAACACATATCGTTATATCGCATGTTCCTTTTCGCACCTCTTAGCTTTTTTTTCTTTGTCGCGACTTTCTTGTAGATAATTTTCAGTGGGACTGACTTCGTGATCGCCGATGTTACCTTGTTCTGAAGGCAATCTATTATTGAAAAGAATATATAAAGAAGAGTTTCTTCATTAATTAGATAAAATTTTTTTAAAAAACTTCTTTTTATTTTTAAATGTAAAAACTATCGGCAATCTAATTTAGGCTCCCATAAAGAATTGAATTTGCTAGGTTATTTTTTTACTTTCTTTTAATTTATTAAAAACTATTTGGATGAAACTTCTAATAATATAATGAGTTTTTATTACTGATTTTAAATTTATAAATCTTGTTGTTTTTACTTTTAGAAATAAAGTTAAAACAAAATTTAATTTTGTCAATTGGATTTAAACATAAGTCAATCAACTTTGTTTATACAAAAAAATTTGAAAGGTTTGCGTATTTTATTCATTTTTTTAAATCATTTAGCACTTCGTTTTATTAGAGAGTATAATAATTTTTTTCAAGAAATATTCTTTTCATATTATTTGTTAATTAGCTAAATATATTATCGAATATCACAATTTTTTTATTTTTAAGAAATTAAATCTTACTTTGTTTTTCGTTCATAATTCGGTCATTATTTAATTTAATT